CAGTCAACGAGGGAATTCTCTGTTCCAGTTAGGTCCCTGTCTTCCCTCTCGGCGCAAACCACACTGCTGCCTGCCTCCTCCACGTGCTATGGTTGTTCCCACATTTGTGTCTGTGTTCATCCTGCACCCTCAGCCCTTACCCCGGTCTCTCACCTCCACGAGCCTTTTCAAATTCTTCAAGCCTGTGTTGCTTATCTCCTTTTCTTTGCTTCTTAGCTCTTACAGTTTGTGCCACAGTTACCACTTAGTTTTTCTCTAATGAATGACTTTGATTTCTTCTACCAGATTATAAGCTCTTAAGAGGCAGATGCTATATTTCGTATCACTTTTATCCCTGTCCCATCTCCTTGATTTTCTAGGAAAGATAGATTGAATGGTGAATATTGTCTTGGTGTTAGAACATATTTCTGTGGTTATTTTTAACAGGGAAATTATACCCATCATGCATTACAGAATTGGACATTTCATATTCCTTTCGTAAATATTTGTTCTGTTCTCCACTGCTACCTTCTGAATCTGAGAATTGCTAATGCCCAATCTTTCTTAAAGGAGAAAGTAAGAAAGGCCTCCAAGTTTCCTGACCAGATCTTTGTAATAGTGTAGGGCTATGCGACTTGTAAGACAGTACTTTAAAAAGTTCATGGAAAAGTGGAATTTCCAAGATATTTATTTTGGTACAAATTTTTTTGAAATCCATGTAGTTTTTTTTCCATAATATATATTTTCCATGAGCTTTATGAAGTACACTCATAGTCTATGACACCCTTGTCATTTGTTAGGCTCTCAGCTTTTCCTTAGACCTGCAGAATACATGTCTGAATTTTGAAGACATTTTTCATTGATTTCTTTATATAATAAAAATATTTAGGATATTGTATTTTTGTTTTAACTTAGATAGGACTTCTCTCCTTTTACCCATAACTGGGGTTAGCCCGCAAAAGTCAGAATAATTTTTACAGGGGTGAATAGGGTTGTTGCACAAGTGATTTTCTACAACAAAAGCAAGGGAAGAGGATCTGCAGGCAGAGAATTTCTGAGGATCAGGAGAGTGTGTGTGAACAAGGTGTATAGCACTGACCAGGTCCAGCAAGTTACCATTCTGGTTACCCTATAATCTTTTCCATACAGGCTGTGTATGTAGGTAAAAGACATCACACCGGAATACCAACTCAATGTTTAATGGTTGTGTACACAATTCTATGCAAACTATTCAAGTGATTCTAAAAAGTATTGTGAGATGATGTATACTTTCAGCGATCTTTGTAGTTAAGTGAGGAAATAACATAGGACAACTAGAAGAAAAGCCTCCTCTTTGTCATTATTTGTATGCTTAATATTAAGATATAGAAGGGAAGGTGCTGGCATTGGGTGCAGCAGGTTTGGCCACTGCTCATGATGCTGACATCCCATATTGGAGCGCTGGCTTGAGACCTGGCTGCTCTGCTTCTGATCCAGCTCCCTGCTAATGCACCTGGGAAAGCAGCAGATAATGATTCAAGTTCCTAGGCCCCTGCCACCCACATAGGAGACCTAGATGGAGTTCCACACTCTTGGCTTCAGTGGCCCAGTCTCAGCTATTGCAGCCATTTGGGGCAGTGAACCAGTAGATAGAAGATCTCTTTCTCTTTCTCTCTCTCTGTCACTCTGCCTTTCAAAGAAATAAAATACATTTTTAAGAAAAGATACAGAAGATTCAAAAATATTGCACAGCTTTAGAATGTAGGTAACCTAGCATGCATGCATATATATAGCCTTATGTAAAAGATTGAGATTTCAGCTGACAATAGTGTTTTGGTCCCTCAAAAAAAGTGTCTACAGTTTTCAGCTGTAGTAACTAAAGTATAGCAGTAAGAAATAGTCACAGATATTTAGTCAGAGAATGTGAGTTAAGAAAACATGATAGCTGTCTGTATTTGAAGTTCTCGTTTAGGGAAAAAGAGTAGATTTATTGAACATTGCCTCTGAAGCCTGGGTGAAAAAATAGAGAACTGACTTTTGGCTCAGCATGAGGAAGGATTGTCTGAAATGAGGCCTAATCCAAGATGATATAGGATTTCTTCATAAAATTATTTCTAAATATTGGATTAAAAGATTTTACTTTCAGATGGAGGGGAGGAGGTGGCTGTAGTAGCAGTGTTGGATTTGCTCAGGAGTCCCCAGACTTGTATTTCAAGGGTCACTAAAATTTAAATCAAAGTGTGGGGAGGGAACCAAATATAGGGTAGTCAGTGTTACTTTGTCAAGTAAAGAAATGAAATAAAATCAACTACCAACTACTGATATAATTTCATACAAGAAATGTGGTTTTTAAAGTCTGCCTAGTAACAGTCCTTAAACGTAAGTGTGATTAGCTGAGGAAAGGCACTATATGCTCTTTTTTTTTAGTTCACCTCAGAATTGCAAAACTTTCATTGTGAAACCGCTGGGCCAACTGACTGAAGAGTCAGTGACTGATCTGCTCTCTGCTGTGACTCTGCCCCTGGCCTTCCACTGATTCATTTATTGCTCCCTGAATCCCGCATGCATCTTCCTTGTTAAAATGCTGGGCAGAAACTAGTTAAGTTCTGATAGAGGCTTTCTGGACAATGAGAAGAATTGAAAGAAGTTGTACAGAGAAAGTTTTAGAGAGAAGCACAGGAGTGTCTGAGACACTGAAGACGATTTGGGGTAATCTTTGAATCTGTGAATAGAAAGTGGATTTGTTTCCCTGCAAACTCAGAGAATATGCCCTTGGTCCTGCTTTTCCAGCCCTCCTCTCTCACCATGAAGGTCATGTTTAACTATTAATCCTAATCTTAAAACTGTGGCCTCACTGCAAATGTTAACAAGGTAGTGTTTAGTATTCAAGACCCTTAGTTCAAGATGCAGCTGATATTTCAAGGGCCTGTTCCTCCATTACTTCTTAGAATTCCTTTCAATAACTTCCCTAGAAAAGGGCTATTGATTCCACATTCGGTATTACTATGCCTGAAAGGAAGCTTCCATAATTATTTTTGTGGCCTGTAATGAAAACATTCGGTTGCATGTTTGCTGTCCTCTCTTAGAAAATTTGGTTCTTAGAAAATTGTTCTTTGCTTAGTTACAGAGAATTCCTTATGTGGAAACAAAACAAAACCTTGTCTCCTCTAAAAACAGACTGTGGCTCTAAGGCACTCATCCCTGGTAGGGGAGGCGGGCAACAAGTCATATCTATGAAAATGCAAGTTTGGGTACTTAAATTTTTACAAAGGTAATAATGATAATTAGCTAAGAGTTATTGAGCTAGCAGGTACTTTTCTAGATGTTTAAATATAGTGGTTAATTTTCGCAGCAACCCATAATACAGTTTTTATTGTTCCCATTTTACAGTTCAGAAAACGGTCATAGGGAGTTTAAATAACTTGCCCAAGGTCAAAGAACTAGTCAGTGTTGGAGTCAGGGTTGGAATTTAGGCAGTCTGACATCAGAGTCTTCATTCCTGACCATAAACCATTTAAAGGTGCTTTTGAACCTTGAAAGTATGCATACCACAAAGCTCTACAGAAAGAATATTTATGGGAAAAAAGAATATTTATGGTAATCTGAGAGTCCATGCTAAGCCAAAATGGTTACTTTCTTCTGGACCAGTATTTAATAGGTGATGCCTGGTACATTAGTTCTTAAGCATGGAAGCATCAGCACTCAGGGCCGGACCCACACTACCAATCAGAAACTGGTGGAGAGGCCCAGCAATCTGTGGTACAGTGTGCCTTCTAGATGATTCTGGTACATGCTGAAATTTGAAAAGAGCCCAGAGCTGTGGAAAGAATAAAATCCAGGAGAGAAGGAGCTGAGAGTGGCAAAAAAGGCAGGGAAAGCTGGAAAGATTGAACGTGACAGGCCTAATGAAGGCGGCATGGGAAAAGGGGTAAGGAGTACTGGAAGAAATACATTGTTAAAGAACCAGGACATAAAATAAGAGGTTCTCTATGTGTGTGTGTATGCATATGTGTGTGTGTGTGTGTATAAAGTCCGGGGGAAGAAAAAGGAGATCCATTGGATTGGATGAATGTCAAATATCAGAGAAAAGAGAAACATCATTCATATTGCTGTCATTTCCTTGGGGGGGAGCCCAAAAAGGAGGTGAAAAGGTACTCAACTCAGCCTGGGCCCAGTGGAGGGGAGGAGTTATGTATAGCAAGAATTAGCTAGAGGAACAAAACTGTGGAGAAATAAAAGAGCAAAAATATGAGAGAAGGTGGTGGTGTAGACCTTCGCTTTGCACCTGAATCAAGCTAACTGAATACCATGAACTGCTTTTATGAGATGCCTCAGCCTATATACTTGGAATTCCAGGTTCCTTCACTTGATTAGTTGAATGTCTAAGTGTGCTGGATGGACTAAAGCCCCTTCTTTGGGTGGGGATGAGTAGAATATTAAAGAAACTAGGGAGAGTGAAGGGCACAGGTTGATCACTGAGTGAGTAGCATGCCTACCCTTACAGAATGGCAGTAAAGAACACATTCATGATCATCCAGCACATAAAACAGGAACCCCCATTTTGTGTCCTTGCACTTGGTGGGGTTTTTCCTTCACGTTTGTTTTACTTGCCGATTGTGTCGATCTACATTATATGATCAGATGCTAACAAATGCTCCTCCCTCTTGTACCTTGTTCTGATTTGTGTTTATTTTTAGCACCAGAAAAGTGCCACTGTAAGCCATGAGATGTCTGGTCTGAATTGGAAACCCTTTGTGTATGGCGGCCTTGCCTCTATTGTTGCCGAGTTTGGTAAGAATGTGAAAAAAAAATCAAGTCTGTATTTTATGGTATAGATGATAGTGTTTGGTGATTGTCATTTGTGAAAACTAGAGGGAAAAATAAAACGAAGTTCACCTTATTGGTTTTAAAAAATGATGCTCTCAAAGACATCAGCAAATATTTCTGAGAAAGTACTCCTAATGGTATGGCTGATGAAGTTATGAAAAACCAACTTAGGAAGCTTTTAAAATAGTTGAATAATAGTTAAATTGCTGGACTTAAGCAATATACATAATAATGTAGAAGAAGTTGGATATGATGGGGGTTTCTGCTGTATTTCTATACTAATGATCTTTCTTTTATGTTAAGCTGTTTATGATTTTCTTAGTAAGTATCCACATTTTTTCCCCAAGCCTACCAATATTAAACAAAGCTCTCCTCTGTTTGAGTTTTGAGATATTTCGAGATTGTAATTTTTCATCTTCCAGATTTTTCTCTTCCTTGAACTCTATGTAAGTGACTACAATCCACCATCCTTCATTGACTTTCTTGGTATATGCTATGGTGTTGTGATATCCAGGTCATCAGTGACTAGATCTACATAATGACCTTGTTAGTTTTAGACCTTTGAATATTCCTTGAAATGTGTTTTGTTAAAATAATGACTACTTCTCTAGGTTGACATAAGAGAAAGACATTTGGTTAAAGAAATTTTCCCCTCAAGCACTCTGTCCTTGTTAGTCTTGAATTACCTAAGGAACCAGGATGAGTAGGACCAAATAGAACTTTGCCATTATCTATCATAATTTTAGGAAACTTTATTTCTTATAAACAGATAAAATTAAAAAGACTCACAAAACTGTAAAAGTACTTAAGAACATCTGGAGCAGCAAGCTCATGCTTTCTTTGTGAAAATTGGGGATATATTACAGTGGAGAGGTGGAAAGACTCGAAGTAGGAGGGAGCAGCAAGAAGAAGACACTGATAAATGCCAGATTTTATGTTATAGATGCACAATATTGCATTTATAGTATACACATATTAGGACCATCTAAAATCGCTTTATTCCACCACTGCTTCAAGTGTACCCTGGGTCAAATCATGCTGACTAGATATAGTATGGTACATTTCACTTTAGCATATACAACTCTGTTCTACAAGAGGTGTTCTAGTAGAGATCTTCTGTATGTTATAAAAAGGACTGTCTTATATTTTGAATATTGTCATTGGCTTACAGATAGGTAACATTTAACTGTGACTATTTGGAAATACTCACAAATGAGTGTGTTCCTTTGTAGGAACTTTTCCTGTGGACCTTACCAAAACACGACTTCAAGTCCAAGGCCAAAGCATTGATGTTCGTTTCAAAGAGATAAAGTATAGAGGGATGTTTCATGCCTTGTTTCGAATCTATAAAGAAGAAGGTATATTGGCTCTGTATTCAGGGTAAGATGGATTCTTTCCTTACATCATGAATAGAAATACTTTTTAAAGAAGCCATGTAGGGACAGGCATTGTGGTGCAGTAAGTTAAGCCGCTGCTTGGGACACCTGCATCCCATGTGAAAGTGCCAGTTCAAGTCCTAGCTGCTCTGCTTCCAATCCAGCTTCTTGCTAATGCATCCCAGGAAGCAGCTGACAATGGCTGAAAGTGCTTGGGCCCCTGACACCCATGTGGGAGACCTTGATGGAATTCTGGGCTCATGGCTTTGGCCTGGCCCAGTCTTTACTATTGCAGGCATTTTGGGGGTGAACCAGCAGATAGAAGATCTCTCTCTATCCTTTCCTCTTTCTCTGTTGATCTGCCTTTCAAGAAGGGAAAAAAAAAAAAAAAACCAGAAAACAGAAGCCAGGCAGTTCAGCTGTCTGATAGTTTGTGCCCTTCATAATCACCCTTTCAACTTGTAATTATATATTGAAGTGCCAGTTTATATTTCATCTGGTTGCAGGTCTTGAGCTTTTGATTTTTTGTGTTCGTCTGCCTGTAAATGATACATTTTAAAATGTTTTATCATTGTAGCATAGGTTTTCTCCTGGTTTCTGAATCAGATAGCCGTTGTTAATAGCAGCACCAATTAACTATATATTTTTGTGAACTTCTTCCTAAATTGGCAAATATTGACTTCTTTAAAAATTTTTTCTTTAGATACATATTATTCTGGCAGCTTAAATAGAAAATATGAAATGAGAGAGAGGGAAACCCATTTTAGGGGGACCAACTTTTGATTAACCATTTGTGGTTTATTTTCCAATTTATAGTTTATCTGCTATTAATTTGCTAGGTCAACTGGGTTACCAGTTGATTGCACAGAGAATGGACATCAATATTATCACTAACTTATATTAGGCTTAATTTAAAAGATAATTAATTTTTGTGGGAGAAAATCAAGTAGTATATGTTGAAGCAAGTGATTTCGTGGATCACCTTTTTACCCTGTTCTTTCATCATCACAGATAATCACAAGATACTCTTTTTCTGATAGCAAGAAATAAAATCAGTAATATGCATATTTTGTCTTCATTTTCAGTCCTAACCACTTGAGCTGCTACTGTCTTTCTATTTATATCTCCTAAAATATAGTTCTGCAATTTGGAAGAATCTCAAAGGAGGTATGAGTGAGAATGTCCCCAGTTTATAAGCAGAACATAAATAGGGCAGAATCTTGGCTCTAGTACCTCCTTGTTGATAGGATTCAAGATGTATCTGCAACTGTTTAGAAGTAAGGGTTGATTTTTTTTAAAGATCTATTCATTTATTTGAAAGTCAGAGTTACACAGAGAGAGAAGGAGAGGCAAAGAGAGAGGTCTTCCATTCACTGATTTACTCCCCAATTGGCTGCAATGACTGGAGCTGCACTGATACAAAGCCAGGAGCCAGGAGCCTCCCCTGGGTCTCCCACACAGGTGCAGGGGTCCAAGCACTTGGGCCATATTCTACTGCTTTTCCAGGCCATAGCAGAGAGCTGGATTGGAAGAGGAGCAGCCGGGACTCGAACCATCGCCCATATGGGATGCCGGCACTGCAGCTTTACCCACTTTGCCACAGCGCCAGCCCCAGGGGTCGTTTTTTTTTAAAAACAATCTCTGAGGTATATAATGGCATATAGTTCTTTTTATACATTACAGGGTTCAAGTTGCTAATATTTTCCTAATGATTTTTGCATATGTATTGGCCTTTAATTTTCATTTTTTGTACTGTTTTGTCTGTTTTTTGTGTCAGTGTAATACCAGCAAAAATGGATTCTATTTTCTGGAAGAGATTGTGTAAGATTAGTGTTAGTAATTTAAAAATTAGGAAGAATTCCTAAGCAAAGTTATATAGGCTTGGAGATTTTTCTCTTTTTTTTAAAGATTGATTTATTTATTTGAAAGTCAGAGTTACAGAGACAGGGCACAGGGTGGGGGGGGGGGGAGAGAGAGAGAGAGAGAGAGAGAGAGAATGAATGAATCTTCCATCCACTGGTTCACTCCCCAAGTGGCTACAGTGAGTAGGGATGCACCAGGCTGAGATCAGGAGCAGTAGCTTCATCTGGGTCTGCCATGGGGGTGGCAGGGCCCTAAACACTTGAGCCATCTTCTGCTGCTTTCTGAAGTGCATTAGCAGGGAGCTGGATTAGAATTGGAGCAGCCAGGACACTAACAGGTGCCCACACAGGATATCCGTATTGCAGGTGATGGCTTTACCTGCTGTGCCACAATGCTGGTCCCTGAGATTTCTTATTTGGGAAATTTTTTATATTTTATTTTATTTATTTGAATGGCAGAGCCAGAGAGAGAGAGAGAGAGAGAGGGAATGCATCTTCCATCTGCTGGTTCACTACCTGAATGCCTTCAAGAGCCAGGCTGAAGCCAGGAACCTGGAACTCTATCTGGGTCTCCCACATGAGTGACAGAGACCCAAATACTTGGGTCATCATCAGCTGCCTTCCCGGTCACACTAGCAGGAAGCTGGATCAGAAGCAGAGGAGAGGCCAGCACTGTAGTGCAGCGGGTTAAAGCCCTGGCTTGAAGTGTTGGCATCCCATATGGGTGTCAGTTCTAGTCCTGGCTACTCCACTTCCAATCCAGCTCTCTGCTATGGCCTGAGATAGCAGTAGAGGATGGCCCAAGTCCTTGGGCCCCTGCACCTGCGTGGGAGACCTGGAAGAGGCTCCTGGCTTCTGGCTTCGGATTGGCATGGTGCGGCTCCAGCCGTTGTGACCATCTGGGGATTGAGCTGGTGGATGGAGAACCTCTCTCTCTGTCTCTACCTCTCACTGTAACTCTTTCAAATAAATCTGAAAAAAAAAAGAAGCAGAGGAACTGGGACTCAACTTGGCACTGTGATGAGGGTTGTGGGCATTGTAGGTGGCAGCTTAACCCACTGCACCACATGCCCTTCCCCTTATTTGGAAGTTTCTAGTTATGAATTCAAATTCTTTAATGATTGTCTTAGTTTGGGCTGCTACAGCAAAGTACCATGCACTAGGTGGCTTATAAAGGACAGAATTTTTTTTTTTCTGGAGGCTGAGTTCTGATGAAGGCCCTCTGCTGGGTTGCAGAATGCCCACTCCTTGTATTCTCACAAGGCAGAAAGAATGAGAGGGCTCTCTGGGATCCCTTGTACAAGAGTACTAATTCCGTTGCCTCAGCCTTCTGACCTAATTACCTTCCAAATGCCCTGCTTCCTAAGGCCATCACATTGGAGGCTAGGATGTCACTGCGTGTATGACTTTTGGGGAGGATACAAACAGTCCGGTGCAATGATTATGAGACTTAAGCAGATTGTTTTTTATCTTGGTTGAGTTTTGGTAGTTTGTGGTTTTCAAGGGATTAGTCCATTTTTTCTAACTTGTTGAATTTAAGATCGTAAAGTTGTTTATGGTATTCCCTTTATTATCCTTTTAATGGATGCAGAATTTATTGTGCTATTCCCTGTTACCTTTCTGATGTTGGTGACTTATATCTTTTTATTTTTGTGAGTCTTACTAGGGGGTTTATCAGTTTTACTCATTTTTTTCAAAGGGCCAACTTTTTGTTTCATTGATTTTTCTTTATTTTCCCATTTTTAATTTCATTGATTTATGATCTTTGTCTTCCCTCTGCTTTCTTTGGATTTTTTGTTTGCTTGTTTGTTTGTTTTGCTCTTCTTTAGTGTCTTGAGGTAGACACTTAGACCATTGCTTTGAGACTTTCTCATTTTCTTTTTAAAATTTTTATTTTGTTTATTTGAGAGACAGAGTGAGGAATCTCCCATCTGTTGATTGCCTCCCTAAATACCTACATCAGCCAGGGATGGGCCAGGCTGAAGCTGGGAACCAGGCATTCAGTCTAGCTCTCTCATGTAGGTGACAGGGATCCAAATACTTGAGCTGTCACCTGCTGCCCCTCAGCATGCACATTATCACGGAGCTGGAGTTGGGAATAGAACTGGGAGTCAAAGCCAGGCACTCTAATGTGAATTGCCAGCATAGCAACAGTATCCTAATTACTCTGCCAAACACAGATCCCCACTGTTTTCTAATGTAAGCATTTTGTGCTGTAAATTTCCTTCAGATCTGCTTTAGCTATATCCTATATAATTTAGTAGGTTGGATTTCCATTTTTATCTAGGTCCATGTGTTGAAAAACTTTCCTTTGAGACTTCTGACCAATGGGATTGTGGAGAATTATGTTGTTTATTTATTTGTTTTTAAATATTTTTTATTTATTTGTTTCAAAGAGAGAGTTACAGACAGAGGGATAGACTGACAGAGAGGTCTTCCATCCACTGGTTCACTCCCTAAACGGTTGCAATGGCCAGAGCTGAGCTGATCTGAAGCCAGGAGCCAGGAGCTTATTCCGGGTCTCCCACACGGGTGTAGGGGCCCAAGCTCATGGGCTATCTTCTGCTGCTTTCCCAGGCCATGGAGAGAGCTGGATTGGAAGAGGAGCAGCCAGGACTTGAACCGGAGCCCATATAGGATGTCAGTGCCGCAGGCAGAGGTTAGCCCACTGTGCCACAGTGCCAGCCGCAAAAGTGTGTTAATTTCCAATTGTTTAAGGGACTTTCTTCAATTTCTAAAATATTTATTTATTTAGTACTGGCACCGTGCATAACAGGTAAAACTACCACCTGCAGTGCTGGCATCCCATATGGACGCCAGTTCCTATCCTGCTCTACTTTTGATCCAGCTCCCTGCTAAGAGCATCCTGGGAAGTAGCAGAGGATGACCCAAGTACGTGGGCCCCTGCACCCACGTGGAAGACCCAGAGGAAGCTCCTGGCTCCTGGCTTTGGATCAGCCTAGCTCCAGCTATTGCAGACATTTGGGGAGTGAACCAGTGGATGGAAGATCTATCTGTCTCTCCCTCTCTCTCTCTCTGTAACTCTGCCTTGCAAATAAGATTTATTTATTTGTGTATTTATTTGAGCGGCAGAGCAACAGGAACTGAGGGGGAGGAAGAGAGAATGAATCAGTCTTCCATCCACTGCTTCACTCCCCCAAATGGCCTCAACAGCTAGGTCTGTGCCAGGACAAAACCAAGTGCCTGGAACTCTATCCTGGTCTCCCACATGGGTGGCAGGGGCCCTGATACTTGAGCCATCCTCCACTGTCTTCCTGAACACATCAGCAGTAAGTTGGATTGGAAGAGGCATAGCCAGGACTTGAACTGGCACTCTGATATGGGATGATGGCTCTGCAAGCCATGGCTTAACCACTGCACCACAATGCAAGCCCCAGCAGTTTCCTTATTGATTTCTAGTTTGATTCCATTGTGATCAGAGAACATGCTCTATGTGATTTCAATTCTTTTAGATTTGTTGAGGTTGGTTTTACAAAGTGTGCTGTCTTGGTGAGTGTTTCCTGGGTGCTTGAAAAAAAGATCTTCTGTGTTATTGAGTGGAATGAGGTGAGTAATAGAAATGAGTAAGTGGGCTGTCTAGTTATGTATAACCCTCAAATACATGTTGAGTATAATTAACTTTCTTTTCTCTTCTTTTTGAAAGAATCGCTCCTGCTTTACTAAGACAGGCATCATATGGCACCATTAAAATTGGGATTTACCAAAGCTTGAAGAGATTATTTGTAGAACGTTTAGAAGGTCAGTGTGCTTTCTTTTGAGGTGCTACTCAAAGGTATTATTGAAATAATGCTTAGTGAGAAGTGTACATCATGAGATGCCTGCAAGGACAAAGTGAGCTTGAACTGATTTGGGATAAATCCTTGTAGACGTGATATATGGATTAGAGGGACCTGTTTTTAAATTTGTCCCTATCGAATAATAATAAAGGCTTCTGGCCATCATAGAGGAAACATGGAATGGTATTGTTCGGAAAATAAATGCTATTCTCATCAACAAGAGGACTTCAACCTACAAGTCATTTTCTAGCTGCCAATTTTGATAAGCTTTTATTACATAGGATAATTTTAGGCTGTTAGAGTCTATATTATGATGTACCTATGGCCACCTTACCCACAGTCAGCATTATCGCATGTCTCTTTATTTGCTGCTGCAACATTTCCAGCCTGATACTGTACTTAATGGTTATTTTACCACAGGCCTGGGGCTATTGGATGTTTGGGGACAGCTGAAGAGCCTTTCGGTTAGTAATGTCCTTTGAATCACTATATTATTATCCTAAATCAGCTTTTTCTAGAGCTTCTTCTTTGGGAATCATGGAGGATTCCCTTCTACTTCTTCCTAAAATAACTTCCTTTCATACATTCTTTACTTGGGTTTACTTCCTTTTTATTTGTAGGCTCTTCGTGGTGGGGGAGGAGTATGAAGATGGACTTTTCACTGCAGAACTCTATGCTCTGTGGTTTCTTTGTTTTTATGTGTGTGGGGGGGTTAGTTCTAAATGGTTGCTTTTCCACATCTGACTACAGACACCTTCTGTAAATAAATAGAGGGTAGAAGAGATCTAAGACCAGTCAAAATTATTATTTAGATAAATTTTTCTATTAAACATACATTTGATCTTTTAACACTCAGTTCCTGAATCTTTAGTGGTGAAGATTATGCAGAAAAACATTTAAAAAGCATATTCTTTAAATGTTTGAAATGGTTGAAGAGAAAATACCACATTCTGAATTCAAGTGGGATACTGATAGCTATGTAGAAAAATAGAACATGTTCCAGTGTACGTTAGAGATAAGCACTTTTAAAGAAATAATGATTTATATTTTATAATTTTTATATATTTCAGTACTGATTTGGGATCTAGAAATTTTTTTTATTTTTGGAAGCTTTGTAGTTTGTTTCTAAAGTCCTCTCTGACCAAGTTTCCTTTTCTCTGATAGCTCAGTATTTTATTTTAATAAGCTGGTGCCTAATATAAGCAGGCTCTTTTTCTTTTTTTTCCTTTTTGCAGATGAAACTCTTCTAATTAATATGATCTGTGGAGTAGTGTCAGGAGTGATATCTTCTGCAATAGCCAATCCCACCGATGTGCTAAAGGTAAGAGAGGTGTATGCAGCGTGATTTGAAGAGAGCATGAGCTTTGAGTGAGATTTGGGTTCAGATTTCCAGTCTGTTGCTTGACAGCTGTAAAACCTTCAGAAGGTCACTGAATTGCTTTCAGTGTTGCTCAGTTTCTATAAAATGACGATAATAAATTGCTTATCACATAGAGTTATTACAGGTCGGAGAGAATAGGTGTAAACTGCCTAGCATTGTCCTTGGTAGTAGTTGCTCAATAAATAGTAGTCAATTTATTATGATAGACTTTAATTTGTTGGTCTTCAAACTAGGGTGTGTAAGCATCTATGGAATCTTTCCAAGGACTTTGCCATTTTAAGAGAATCAACTTCCAAATCTCTTACTTTCACTTGTATTCTTTCCTAAAACTAATCTGAGAATGAATATGTGTTTATAATATCCCTTTCCCACTTTACAAAAGAAAGGCATATCCCAACCCATTCCAAATCTTGGTATGGTATGTTGACCTATGGTATAACCTGGCATATCAAACAAACAGGTAAATCACCATACAGTTTTCAGGCAAGCTTCCTTTAATAATTAGTTGGAGTACCTTAAATCTCTCCAGCCTCTGTCTTTCCCTGTATTAGCCATAATTTCTCTTAAGGGTGAGATTGAGCTTTAAAAAAAAAAACAAACCTGTATTTTGGGTATTCTGAGTTCAGAACCAGAACATTATAGGTTAGTCATGCTGATTTGTTAAGAATAGAATTGGATTTAAGTTTTTTTAAGATTTATTTTATTTATTTGAAAGAGCCACAGAAAGTGGTAGAGACAGAGACAGAGGTCTTTCATCCACTGGTTCACTGCCCAAGAGACCATGGCAGCCAGAGCTGAGCTAATCCGAAGCCAGGAGCCAGGTGCTTATTCCAGGTTTCCTACATAGGTTCAAGGGCCCAAGGACTTGAGACTTCCTCTGCTGCTTTCCCAGGCACATTAGCAGGGAGCTGGGTTGGAAGTGGAGCAGCTGGGACTCGAACCACTGCTCATATGGGATGCCAGTGCTGCAGGCCAGGCCTTTAACCTGCTGCGCCACAGTGTCGGCCTCAGATTTCTTTAAGGTTTTATCAATTCACAGAATGAAATATTTATTATAGTATCAATATTCAACTCACTTTATTTCATAAAATGGTAAATTTATTAACTTTATGATTAATTAAAAGCACTAAATATGTGATTAAAATATGTGAGAGAATTCCAAACTTTTAAAGATTATTTAATGGGGCCAGTGCTGTGGCTTAGCAAGGTAAAGCCACCGTCTGCAGTGCCAGAATCCCATAAGGGTGCCAGTTTGAGTCCCAGCTGCTCCACTTCCAATCCAGCTCCCTGCTATGGCCTGGGAAAGCAGCAGAGGATGGCCCAACTCCGTGGGCCCCTGCACCTGCATGGGAGACCCAGACAAAACTCTAGGCTCTTGGCTTTGGATAGGTCCAGCTCCGGCCATTGTGTTGAGGCCACCTGGGGAATGAACCAGCGGATGGAAGACCTCTGTCTCTCTCTCTGCTTCTGCCTCTGTAACTCTGCCTTTCAAATAAATAGATAAATATTTTTTTTAACTTTTATTTAATGAATATACATTTCCAAAGTACGATTTATGGATTATAATGGCTTCCCCCACATACCGTCCCTCCCACCCACTACCCTCCCCTTTCCCACTCCCTCTCCCCTTCCATTCACATCAAGATTCATTTTCGATTATCTTAATATACAGAAGATCAGCTTAGTATACATTAAGTAAGGATTTCAACAGTTTGCTCTCACACAGAAACATAAAGTGAAAAATAATAGATGATTTTTTTTTAAATGATGATGAAATCCAATCAGACCTATTGTCATGTTTAATCCCAGTGAGAGTCAAGTTGAGAGTTGATAATTTCTTTTCCTTTTCTTTTTTTTTTTTTTACAGAGGATCAGTTTAGTATACATTAAGTAAAGATTTCAACAGTTTGCACCCTCATAGAAACACAAAGTGAAATATATTGTTTGAGTACTCGTTATAGCATTAAATCTCAATACACAGCACATTAAGGACAGAGATCCTACATGAGGAGTAAGTGCACAGTGACTCCTGTTGTTGGCTTTACCAATTGACACTCCTGTCTATGGCTAGATAAATATTTTTTAAAAAATATTTTATGGTGAATATGACAAAGAGAGTAAGAGGATGCATGCTTTATTTGAACTGGTGAAACCACAAGTGGCTAAGTTAATGAAGAAGAGATCAATTATAATTCACAGAGTTTTGAGAACTGAGTGACTTGAAAAAATGACCATGAAGGCAACCACTGGTGGTTGATGGAGACAGAGAAAAGATATTTAATAATCTTTCTGGACTACAGTGAGAGTAATTTTACTACAGAATTTTTATATCACTTTAGATTTACTGAACAAGTATTTATGACAAGAATTGACTGTATATTAAGACTATAGAATATTTGCAGTATAATTACACTTGTTAGAAAGTGCTTTTCGGCCAGCACCACGGCTCAATAGGCTAATCCTTTGCCTGCAGTGCCAGCACCCTGGGTTCTAGTCCCGGTCAGAGCACCGGATTCTGTCCCGGTTGCTCCTCTTCCAGTCCAGCTCTCTGCTGTGGCCAGGGAGTGCAGTGGAGGATGGCCCAAGTGCTTGGGCCCTGCACCCGCATGGGAGACCAGGAGAAGCACCTGGCTCCCGGCTTTGGATCAGCGCAGTGCACCGGCCGCAGTGGCCATTGTGGGGTGAACCAATGGAAAAAGGAAGACCTTTCTCTCTTTCTGTCTCTCTCACTGTCTACTCTGCCTGTCGAAAAAAAAACAAAAAAAACAAAAAAAAACAAAAAAAAAAACAAAAACAAAACCAAAAAAAACTTCTATCTCCTGTCCACAGAAGTTGTTTTTTTTTTTTTTAAAGTGCTTTTCAAGACTAATAATACTTAACTCCGTGAGTCTTCCTTTCTTATCCATCATGATTCTACGCTTAATCACTTATGATTCACTTCCGTTTCTTGTCCTTCTGACCTGTCCAACAAAATTATAACCCTTGAACAATGCTATAATCTACCTTCTCCTTTCTTATACCTCTGTGAGACTGAAGGTATGGGGGTGGAGAAAGCCACGATCTTAGACTTTGGCCAGGCCAATATGATTTATAAGCACAATTGGACTGTTCATTCCTTTCACTTATCCTTGAACAGCTCTTTCTCCTATCCTCAAAGATATTTTAAACCATCAAGCTTTCATTTTAGCTCCTTACTTCTATTGCTCTCAACAGACAACTCCTACTTCCTGTGGCCTTGCCTTCCACCTCTCAACTTCCTGTCCTTTCTACCCTTCAGCTATGAACTTGTTTAACACATATGCTCATCCTTACTGTGCTGTGGTGGTTCTTTAAGTGGTATTCTCCAGGCTAGCAGTATCAGCATCACCAGGGAGCTTGTTAAAAATGTAAATTCCCTGGCCCTACCCTACTGCACCAGAAAGGGTAGGGTAGGGCTCAACAGTCCATGGCTTTGATCTGCTCTTATTTACTCTGATTTCATCTGGGGCTTCTTTTGTCCCCTTTCTCTTTTCTCTTCAGCTTCTTCCTTTGTACTGGTTACCTCCCCTCAAGGTATAAATATGTTCAAGTCTATTTAAAACACTTTTGCTAAATATGTTCAAGTTTGACTATCTTAAAATATTTTTTCTTGACCCTCACTTTCTCAAAACATCACTGTCTTTTCTTCTTATCCATATTTCACAAAATAACCCTCACCTTCCTTTTTTTCATAACTTGCTGTAATCACTGCTGCTACTTGGTTGAAACTACTCTCCCCATAGTCCACCTTATCCAATCCAGTGGACATTGTAGTTCTCATCTCACTTAACCTATTTTGAGTAATCCCTCCTTACTTGATTTTCTCATTTTCTTTTGACACCAAAATATTTAACTTCTTCTAGTTTTCAAACTCCTTTGTTTTGTTTGCAGGCTGCTGCCTTTATTTTTGCACATACCACACATGTTTCTCTTTTCCTACTTACAGTTCTATCTTTAGTCCTTTTCTATAATCTCTCTCTGGTTGGCCTTTCTCATTCTTTTGACTTGAGCTCTCAGCACCTCAGTAAGGGTATAGCGGAAGTTGGTGTTACAAAGAAATTTAAATATACAGCCTCAAACAAGATACAAGTTTATTTCTCCCCTAGGTTATAGTCAGAGGAGAGCAGTTTTTGCTAGTGCAGTCATCCAGAACCTGGGTTCCTTCAATTGTGTTACATTGGGAAATCCTAGGGAAGGAGTTGGCAAGCTGCTGTCTGTGGGCCAAATCTGGCTCAGCACCTGTTGTAAATACAGCTTATTGGGACACTGTCACTGTTTATGTATTGTTTATGGTTGCTGTTCTGCTTCTATGGCAGAACTGGGTAGTTGTGACAGAGGCCGTCAGCCCCGTAAAGTCTAATATATTTATTATCTGGCCTTTTATAGAAAAAAAAGGCTGAACCCTGTCCTGTGATATTGTTTTTTTAAAAGATTTATTTATTTATTTGGAAGTCAGAGTTACACAGAGAGAGAAGGAGAAGCAGAGACAGAGAGAGGACTTCCATCCACTGACTCACTCCCCAATTGGCTGCAATGGCTGGAGCCGTGCTGATCCGAAGCCAGGAGCCAGGAACTTCTTCTGGGTCTCCCATGTGCGTGCAGGGGCCCAAGGACTTGGGCCATCTTCTGCTGCTTTCCCAGGCCATAACAGAGAGCTGGATCAGAAGTAGAGCTGCCGGGACTCTAACTGGTGCCCATATGGGATGCTGGCACTGCAGGCAGCGGCTTTACCTGCTGTGCCACAGCACCGTCCCCCATTGTGATATTTTTTTAATCTGCATAGTTGGAGTCAGGCCACCATCACACCTGCATTACAGTCCATATGAGGACAGAGTATAGGGAACACAGTTTCCTTTTGTTTTGTTAAAAGTAAAATGGTAGAGTCAGGCAAAATTTAAGTTTGTTCCATTCAGTAAGAGAAA